AAGCTTTGACACCCAAACACTAGCTCAAAACTCCAACTGCATCCACTGGCCCAGAAAGGTTGGAGACACCTGCATTATCTAGTTACAGTAAGTTGCAGTCAGTTTTATTACCCTCCATAATACATATTGAAGGAGGGGACTGAGGTGTAGTTACCATACTTGCCTAAGGCCATCTAGTGAATCTACAGCAGAAGTAGAAATACCTGGTTTACAGCCCAGTCTTTTAACCCTGTAAACTACACAAACCCCATTTGCATTTATGGTGTTTTATAAACATTAAATAACAACAAGAAGAACAATATTTGTGCTTGCATCAAGTTAGGGAAAGCACTGCAAAGTTGGCAAAGTAAATTTCAGGAATGCGATGGAAAGGATTATCACCAAGCTTGTAAGAAAAATACATCTGAGGATTCACTCCTATGCACTGAATCAGTTGACTTATTTTAGCTGTTCAGGAATTTTCTTGGGCAGTTGCTGAGGTCTTCTGTCTTTGTTTTTATTGTTTCTACTATTTTTGTTTTGTTTTAATGCTTCTGATTATTTTATTTTTCAGCAACTCTAAACTCTGAAAAGGTGGCCTAAAAACAAACAGGTATATAAATAGAGGTAAAGGTAAAGGTAAAGGTACCCCTGCCCATACGGGCCAGTCTTGACAGACTCTAGGGTTGTGCGCCCATCTCACTCTATAGGCCGGGGGCCAGCGCTGTCCGCAGACACTTCCGGGTCACGTGGCCAGCGTGACAAGCTGCATCTGGCGAGCCAGCGCAGCACACGGAACGCCGTTTACCTTCCCGCTGGTAAGCGGTCCCTATTTATCTACTTGCACCCGGGGTTGCTTTCGAACTGCTAGGTTGGCAGGCGCTGGGACCGAGCAACGGGAGCGCACCCCGCCGCGGGGATTCGAACCGCCGACCTTGCGACTGGCAAGTCCTAGGCGCTGAGGCTTTAACCCACAGCGCCACCCGCGTCCCTTATATAAATAGAGAGCCCACCCTAAACACACAGTTAATTGTATGGGATCAGCTTGTTTGAAATCCTGTATCATGTCCTGTTGAAGCCAGGATAAATAAGCTACAAGTATAGACTGTAAATAATAGTCTTGTGCACAAAAGGAATTAACTGCATTTGCATACCTAATGCTGTTTCTTATTTACAAAATAGCAGCTTGTGGAATGAGGTGGGGGCAGCAATTTGGAGCAGAGCAGTCTAACAACAGAATACTAAATAGCTACAGAGAATTCATTAATACTATTAATATTTGAGTTACCAACACACTATGGTTGTGGTGCCTCCATGCAGAGCTGCCCGAACATATGGGGAAGCTGTTTGCTGATCAGAGCTATTTACATGGAAAATCTCCATGGCAACATCAGCAGCCTGCAGAAAGTTGTTGCACGGGTATAGAGTTCCTAAGTACTGGTGTGGAGACTTTCTATGCAATAATGCTGATACATAGGATACACCTCTTATATACACTACAGAAGTCACATGGAAATTCCTACGTTGTCTGCCAGCAACCACACCACAGGTGTGATAAGAAGCAACCTTTCAATTAGAACTTAAACAGCACATAAGATTTTACTTTAGGCTGGATATCTTATCTTATGGAATTCCCTCATGCTGCAAAACATTTAGTTCAGGGGAAAGGGCTAACTGAATAGGAAGGTGCTAATCTAGTACTAAATTTTGCAGCACAGGATGAAAAGGAGGACATTTTACCACCTTCCCTTGCCTGTACAGAATGGAATAGTTGCAAGAAGGGAAATGGGGTCAAAGAACAGGAAATTCTTGGTAAATATCCCCTTAACTTATTTTCATACCCATTCCAGGATGTTTTAGGTTGCTAGGGGCTTTTCCTGCTTTGCAGCTGGGGAAGAGGGAATTAATAAGGATTGGAGAAAGCGCTTTTCTTCTGATCCTATTAAATCCCCTCCCTGCAAGCCAGGCAGCAGCAGCACCTGGCATCATTGGGTGACCCTGACAGGGTCCACGGCTGCTTATGCCTGCTATGAGTCTCCCACTTGGCCCCTTTCCAGGGCCTGGGTTTATGAAGTGGGAGTAGCAGACAGCTGGGAAACCACTGTTTCAAATAACACGCAATGCCCCCATAGTGATGCTATGTCTGGGCATTACAGTGGTACCTTGGTTCTCAAACTTACTGTAATCCATTCTGGACATCCGTTCCAAAACCAAAGTGTTCCAAAACCAAGGCACATTTTCCCATAGAAAGTAATACAAAATGGATTAATCCGTTCCAGACTTTTAAAAACAACCCCTAAAACAGCAATTTAACATGAATTTTACTATCTAACAAGACCATTAATCCATAAAATGAAAGCAATAATCAATGTACCGTACTATAAAATAAATAAAACAGTATTGTAGATGATAAAAATTAAAATTATTATTTCCTTACTTGCACTGATAATAGTCATTGTTTGGATGGGGGGCTTTTATCCATTTCCGCAGTCACACAATCACTCAATCAATCAGTAGCTGAACTGGGATGCACACAGTCACAAAAACAAATTAACTGAAAAAGCCTCAAAACAAAAAATGCAAAATAAATAGCAAAAACAAAAGCACCAAATATAACTCCAAATATGACCTTAGATCACTGCAATCGGAAACGGAAGGCTTGAATTACAATGGGGAACGCAAATTAGCAGCACAACAAGAAACACAGGGGGACTCAAAACGGAGCATGTTCGGCTTCCGGAAAAACGTTCAAAAACCAGAACACCTACTTCCGGTTTTGCAGTGTTCGGGTTCCATGTTGTTTGTGAACTAAGCTGTTCGAAAACCAAGGTACCACTGTATAGGTAATTACTGAGACGGGTGCCTTGCAGCCACCCAGCACAGTAGTGCATCTGCTTGTGGTAAGCCCAGGGCAGGAGGAGGGGCGTCCACTGAGGAAGGAGAAGACTCCACCAGAAAGCACTTTTCTTATAGCATCCTGGACTAGAAGGGAGATTAGGGCCAGAATATATACACCTCATGGCATACACCCCCCAATTTCCTGCCCCACGCCCTCCCACATACCCTGAAATGCACTGCACTGCTTGGGTTCAAAGCTAAAGAAGCAGATTCCTCCAGGGGGCTGTTGAGACCATAGGTTTATTGCATGCACTATAAATAGGACTGGACTCCGGTCCGGCCAGAGACATTTTGGCACCTGAGGCGGACTCCAAAATGGTGCCATGCTCCCCACCACAGAATATCTACATCAGGAACAAGGTGGGGAGAGAAAGATTGACATCGGGATCTGCTGCCCTAGTGGATTCTGCCACCTGAGGCAGTCATCTCACCTTGCCTCTTGTGTGGGCTGGTCCCAATTGGACTGCTTACTGAACTGCTGATTATTGGGATAAATGTTAAGCACAATTGTGCTATCGGGAAGAGAGGGGATCCCAATAATTTAACACACAAACACCATTTTTTTCCCAGGACCCCAACTAACATATTAAATGCTAGTCTATCAGAAGGCGAACGCGAATAATATTGCAATATCGTCATTAATAGTAACACAGCATTATAATATGTATATTCCAGATGAATTGTTTATTTTTACAAAAAACACTCCTCCCCGCTCCTCTGCTTCCTACCCCGCTCCCCTTTTTCTTTAAATTGCTGCTGCTGAACTCTCTCCGTTTCCGTTCCCAGCTCAGAATTCACCGCCCTCGCGATTATTTACATCAGCAGACAATCGTAGAGGGCGAGGAAAGGGGGGAGACCCTGGGACTTGTAGTTCTTCCCCGTTTCCTCTTCGGCTAACCTCACTTCCCCTTATGGAAGCTGTTTTTGTTTTAACATCTATGTAGTCTGGTTACACGCGGAAGGCAGGCACTGGACTACATTTCCCAGATGGCCGTGCGCTCGAGAGTGGGAGAGGGAGGGAGGCGGGAGATGGACCTTGAGCCTTCTTCCTCTTGAGGCAGGAGAACATTGGAGGGTGGCGAGGGAATCTCCGCTTTCGCGCCGTCGCGTGGTCGGGAGTCGGGACCCAGCGCGGGGGGAGCTTGGAGGAAGAGAGTGAAAACAATAAGGGCAGCGGGAGCACAAGCCGGCCGTTCCCGCTGCCGCCGCTTGGGGTTGGCGAGAGGAGGCATCGCCGCCGGCTGCCGAGAGGAAAGCGGGCTGGGAGGCGACGGGGAGAGACCCGGAGAGACCGCGAGCGACCTCGGCGCGCTGCCGCTGCGTGGCTTGTGGGCGGCGGAGGACGAGGCAGGGAGCGAGGGGCTCCCCGGGGGAGACGGAGCGAGGCGAACAAAGGCTGCCCGCCTTGCCCGGCGAAGGGACCGGAGGACCGCAGGCAGAACTGGGCGACCTTCCCTGGCCGAGAGGGAGCCCCGTGAGGCGGACGCTCAACGGGCAGAGTTCCCCGCTGCCTTCCAGCCATGAGACGGAAGAGCAAATCCCGAGGAGGGGCTTCTGGCGGCTGGTGCTGGCTCTGCCGCGGCTCTCAGTGAACCCTTGGCGAGGAGGCTTCTTCCAGGAACGGTTCGAGCCAAAGAAATCTCTCCCTGCTGCTGCTGCTGCTGCTGCTGCTGCTGCTGCTGCTTCTGACCCCTGAAAACGAAGTGACTCCTGGTTCCCCTCAGCAGCAGGAGAAGAAGAAGAAACGGCGCTGAGGGAAGCGTGTGCGAGGGCGGCTATTTTATAACCGTGCCTCCCTCTTCCTTTCCCTCCCTCCCTTCGCCTGCCTTTGCCAAGCAGCCTCCATCGCTTTTGAACGGGGGCGCGTGGATGTCGGGAGGCGAGGGGGAAGCGGGTGTTGTCGCCGCCGCTGGGCGCTGTTTTCGGGTCGCTTCTCTCCCACACGCTGCTCCCGGCGATGAAAAGCGGGATCCAGGAAGCTGCTTCTGCTTGGTCTGGCTGCTGGGGATAAATAAACCCAGATAGAGTGGGAGGCGGAAAGTGAAGCACCCGCCGCTCTTTTTCTTGACATCTGGCTCTGTTCAAGTGGAAGGCAGCGCTGGGGTTGTGAGGGGGTCGTGGACAGCTTTAGGTCCGACGACAGTTTGAAGGGAGCCGGGTAGGTGGGTGGGCTGCCAGCCCGATACCTCCTGGAACGGGAGACGAATCTTGGATGGCTTCACTATCTGACTGACTAATTCCTGTATCGAAGCTGGAATGAGTTTCAGAGAGCAACTCCTTTATTTGCTTATATAAAAGCCTGGAAGTCTCAATAAGTGCGACGGAAGGAAGAAAAGCGGAAGGGATTTATAATATAAACATTTTATTTGCATCTCTTTCCCCTGAAATCAAGTTGTTTTTTTCTGGAGGAAAGGGAGGGTGAACTGGATATTTGTTGGCAAATAGAAATGAAGGCTGGCTTTTAAAATGTCATGTATTATTTTTCCTCTGGCAATGGATATTGACCACCACATTTCTGTTGTGTTCCAAAAACTTTCTTTTCTATAGTGAGAGCAAAGAGGAACTAATAGTCTTTTGTTGTCATTCAGAGCAACGGCCAGAAAAATACAGGCAGCTTACAGAGTCTAGGAGAAAATTGGATATTATGGATGGTTTCTCAACTGCTGGTTTTGGATTTGGATATATGTGTTTGGAACAATTAATAGGAATTTTAATTTTTGTAAAATGATCTGCATAAAGGATCTTAACAAACTTATATGAAAGGAATCTACTTGGTTACAAAACACTCTTAACCATTTTTAACCAAGACATGCTTAAGGATGTGGATTTGATGTAGAAACTGAGCAGCTTGTTAAACAAAAGGAACAATGCTTCAAAATCCTTTTAAAGCGCTATTTCTTTGACAGTTGATTTATATTTTAGCTGTTTCTAGTTCCCATTTCCTTGTATGATTAGATACTTTTAAGGAACTGTTTTGAACTGTTTCATTTCATTGTGAAGAAAGGATAGACTACTTATGACTTCTGCAATGACAGCTTTGGACACTGAACAGTTAACTGGGTGTTGTATAATGCCCTGATAAACTAAAGTACTAAAAGTGGCTTCAAGGAAACATCTTACCCAAGAGGTGTTTTGGGGGTTACTCCCCTCCTTATTCCCCCTTGATGACTCCAGGAGGTGGTGGAGGAGGGCCCATGAAAGACTGTGAATACAGTCAGATCAGCACTCACAGCTCCTCTTCTCCCATGGAGTCTCCTCATAAGAAAAAGAAAACAACTGCCAAGAGAAAATGGGAGGTTTTCCCTGGAAGAAACAAGTTCTACTGTGATGGAAGGATCATGATGGCTCGTCAGACTGGAGTCTTCTACCTGACCCTTGTTCTTATTTTGGTTACCAGTGGACTGTTCTTCGCATTTGAGTAAGTGGCATTAAAGTTTTCATTTCTTTCCCCCTTTCCATAATGATACAGCTTTTTGAAAAAGGTTTCTATTTCCATTCTGTTCTATAATTACCAAAGATGGTTTGTAGTCTATAGGCATGGATAAGTGAGTTGTACCTATATCATGACTGATATAGTTATGTTTACAGTATGTTGAGACCTTGAAGCTGAGATTGCTACTATTTTCCACTGCAGCTATATTTAAAACAGCCATTCTTTCCTTATGTCCAGCAACTTGGGCTGCTACATATGAATGAGAAGACTAGTTATTCCTGTCTTTTTATTTTTCAAAACTATTACTTGATTGTACTTTTTCACACAGCTTGTTCTAAGCTGAACATACTTGCATTTTTAAAAGAAATTTTTAAAAAACCTGATTGAGTCTAGCTGAATGATTTTTAGATTACTTTGTCAAATGTTTGCAACAGGCTGTTAAGGAACCAGGTGTTTACATTTACAGTACATCCAACTATGAACTAGATTTTCCTCTTTCTCTGATCAAGTCCTCTGTGTAAAGGTATGTATGTATCAAGTTGTTAGCCTGCCAGTGGATGGAGTCTGTAGAACTGCAGTTTGTACCTGGTAGCATGGTCTGTTCATTATGCTGCTGCTTGGTTTAGTTAGATGAATTTTAAAACCTCATCCAAAAGGTAAACTCTGTATAATTAGGCTAACTAGACATTTCACAACATTGCTCTTCTCAGCTATTGTTCAAACTTCCTTCTTTTTTGTTGTTAGGCAATTCTTCCTTTAAAAAAAGAAAAGAAAAATATAAATCCACCTGTTCATTATAAATACCTTACTCACTTCCCTGTTTGAGAGGTGAAGGATATTGCTTCTGACTTTGCTCAGTCTTTGTTAGCTTTAAAGTCTTCTCCTCACCCCACAGCATCTAGTATTTGCAACTATGTGAGTTTGGTATTTAAAAAAAGAAAGGGGGGAAAAAACCTGTAACTGACCAAGAAGTAGCGTATAAATATGAGATACGTACAATAAGCCTGTGTGATGAAAGTGATCAAGGAGCACTCTGTACACACCCTTTATTGCTTCCTCTGTGGCTCATGCCTAGTTATGCTGTGGTGTCTTAAAGTTATGCTCATGGAAGGCTAGTTGGGCTTCCTATACATATCTAGTTTGCCACTGTGAGAACTGGGTGCTGGACAAGATGAATTGCTGGCCTGATCCAGGAGACCCTCCTTATGTTATTAAGTGGACCTTTTAATGGACAGTGCAGTTTAGCATCCTATGGAGAAATTGTGTAAATTATGAATCCTGAGGGAAATGTTATTTGATAATCTGTTTAGCAGATAAGTTTTTTTGAACTGAGTCATGATCCATTCTTCCATGCACTGAAAACAGTGGAGCCTACTTTTGCATATAAACACACATGATTGCGCTAAAAGTATTTTTTTGTGCTTGGGGACAATTTTTTTTCACAAGGGCAGGTTTTGGGTCGAGCCACTGAAGACATGGTGTGTTTACATGATCCATTTCTCATTGAAAGAAAGAGCTTCTGTTTCTGGTTAGTTTATATAAGTATGAATTAGATAAGGGGTTTTGTGGTCCATGGACCACCAGTGATATGTGAACTTCATTCAGCTGGTTCATGGCGTGTCCACATTAAAATTTCATATTTATTTTTTAGTGGTATCTTCATTGTTTCTTTTATTTCTTATACTGTATTTTATTGAATTACAATTCAAATTCTATGAAATGCAAATTACAATACAATAAGATACAACTTTAGAAATGAAAGAACCAATAAAAATACCATTAAAAACATTATAGTTGCTATGGCATGTAGAAAAATAATTAAGTATGGTAGTCTGCTAAGACCACCAGCAGTTTTCAAGCTGTCTGTGGCAGCGGGCAAGGAGAAATTGGGAACCACTGAACTAAATGCTGATCTGATCTTCAAAGGGCGAAACAGGCTGAAAGAGATTCTTGGTGAAATTAGACTTTCTTACATCTCCAGATACTTGTTCATATACACTTGGTAAATTATCATCTTTGATTTGCAGAAGTTGAAAGAGTTCCTTAGAGAAGCATAACTGCAAATCTGCATAAATTGATGGGGTTGGTGTTTGTTTTTTTGTACCTACATATTTAAAATATGGTGCTTGATACAGCACTGGAAGCTTTTTTCCATGTAAATGGGTGTTATTGTTGGGAGACCATATTGTTTCCATACAAAGTAGGAGGATAGATACCATGCCCAGTAATTTCACCTGCTGGAAGCATTTTCAGGACTCACTTTAAAAGTTCTAAAGCAAAATGTTAGATCTTGTCCTTACCTGTCAGTGGGTATGACATGTATTGAAAGAGGCTAATCAGAAGTGAAGTAGATTACAAATAACCTGCATAAGAATAAAATGGTACAGCAGCTCTGGGTATTTCTCCCTCTTCCTGATGGCTAAAGAACAAAACATGTTTTGAGACAATAATCATGTGATAATCAATTTGTTGCAAATGCCCTATATACAGAAAGCAAAACACTGTTGCTCTACTTTTGATCTGATGTCATAAGTTTGGCAGTTATTTTTATCAGCCTAATAGGCTGTCATTTATTGAGCTGCAATTTAATTTGAATTATGCATATTAAAATCTAAAATCTTCTCAAACCACGTCACATAAGTAACTTATTTCTATTCTACATACTTGTGCAAGACTCCATAGGTTTTTGTGTATTTGTACACTCTGCTTGCTATTATCAAGAACTTTTTGCAACAAATACGCAGGCGCATGCTGCTAATTTTTCATAAGAGACACCATTTAACACGGGCATAATCTGTTATTGGTTTACTTTATTACATAAAATTTAATTAAATAATATTAAATATTAAACAATCTGCAGGTGTTTGTCTTTATTTTTAATACAAAATACAAAAAGCTGTGCAGCTGTAATTAAGTCCATGCATGTGGTGGAAATTCTCCTCAGCGCTATTTGTGTGTAATTGTATAGCTTGTACAGTGGTACCTCGGGTTACAGACACTTCATGTTATAGATGCTTCAGGTTACATACTCCACTAATCCAGAAATAGTACTTCGGGTTAAGAACTTTGCTTCAGGATGAGAACAGAAATCTCGTAGCGGTGGCAGCAGGAAGCCCCATTAGCTAAAGTGGTACCTCAGATTAAGAACAGTTTCAGGTTAAGAACGGACCTCCAGAACAAATTAAGTTCTTAGCCCGAAGTACCACTGTAGTGGCTTACAAGGAGGTATATATTGCCATATAGCATACCAAGCAGATGTTAGGGTTCTTTTTGATAGGATATGGTGGATATGCTTTAGAATTGTGGACATGTACCTTTACCTTTACCTTTTAATAATTAGTATTATTAAGTTTAAGGCTCTCAAAGCATGTGTCTCACAATGTAAAACATATTCTTATTCTGCAGAAAGAAATCTAATGCTCTAAAGCAGGTTTTTTTTGGTCTCATGTGCTCTAGTAGAATGCGTATGTCCCAGAAGATTCAGTCAGAAGCAATAGTCGTTTGCTCTGCCCTTAGCAACAGCATGAGGAATCAGCATCTTGAGCTATTATTACATGAAGTGCTTGAGTATGGAATGTTGAAATCTTGTGTATATGCAAATGCACAAAACTGGCACAAAAATGATTCATATGCAGTTTCCCATGGCCTTCTTCATTTTATGGTTTAATAGTTATTAAAGCATACTATCTACAACAAAATTTGTAATTCTCTTAATAGTATCATTATTTCATCACAATAATTATATATAAATTCAGGATGCAGAACCAAATATGTAATTAGTTTCCCCCCTGCTGCACATACTTCAAGATTTGAATATGCCTGATGATGTGACAGCTAATTTTTCAGAATGTTTATAGGGGCCAGTAAAAATACTGAATATTCATGTAGAGTTTGCCAGCCTTAATAAGAAGGTGGGCAGGTCGGGAAGACTGAAATCTTGGATATCATAACAAGTTAAGCTTGTTATATAAAAACAAATGGTTGCTGATCCGGAAGAAACGACCTAATGACAAACAAATGGGTAGATCTTAAGAATCACTCCTGGAAGGAAGTTAATGGGGGAAGGGAACATTTTCACCCCTTCAGGTATCTGTACTTGGTCAGCAGTGTCTCCTGAGGATCTCTGTCTAACATACAGAAAAATCCTGAAAGCAGGTGAAGTTCTCACTTTCAGCTGCTTCCTACTGGGGCAGAGAAAGGCAGACTCCACTCCAACAGATAGAGATTGTGCTTCCCCCACCCTGCCAAATAGCTGTTTGGCAGGCTGAGAGGAGCATGTTTTACTTAGGGAGAAGGGCACGCACAGATGACTGTTTCCTTCCTCATTGGAATTGTGCTCTCTTCAGCCTCCAAGCAATGTGATGGTAGGTGGAAGGCATGTTAAGGGATTCACAGCAAGCGTCAGAAGAGTCCTGTGAAGTTGCATGAGAGCTGCAGGCCGCTACATCTGTCTTAAATAGATCCCTTAGATGCCTGCAGTACATCATTTGATCATGGAAAGATGATTAAAAATTACAAATGTTTCTTACTCCCTTAAAATGTTATGATGGGAGAGTTGGAGTAATTCTGTTACAAAAAATAGTTTTAGGATATTGATTTCCAAATTGCACATTGGACAAACTAGTTCCCCCCCTTACTTTGTTTCCCCTTATGAGATTGTATCATTAAATTATTTTATTATTATAAAATAGTCCTGTGGAATTCTGTTTCCAATCTGGAATATTTTTCTAAATATGGTCCGCCCCCCACTGCAAGATGCTCTGTCATATACAGTGGTGCCTCGCAAGACGAAATTAATCCGTTCCACGAGTCTCTTCGTCTTGCGGTTTTTTCGTCTTGCGAAGCACGGCTATTAGCGGCTTTAAGAAAAAGGAAACAAACTCGCAAGAACTCGCAAGACGTTTCGTCTTGCGAAGCAAGCCCATAGGGAAATTCATCTTGCGGAACGACTCAAAAAACGGAAAACCCTTTCGTCTAGCGAGTTT